TAGAAATAAAGCAGCAGGAATCGATGGTGTACCTCCGGGGATTTTCAAACTCCTATCAAGCGAATGGTTGGATATTTTAACGGTTTTGTTCAATTTAGTTTTCTCAGGTGAATACCCCGATCAATGGTCATATGCAAAGATTTTTACGATTTTTAAAAAAGGCAGCCCGAGTGATACAAATAATTACCGTGGTATTAGCATACAAGGGGCTCTAGTAAAAATCTATGAAAGTGTACTTAACAGCCGATTCAATAGCTGGTTCAGACCTGATGATGAACAAGCGGGAGGCTGTGTAGGCAAGGGCTGTGCTGAACAGTTGTTTACACTACGGCTACTTATTGAATATGCAAGAAAAACAAAGCAAGTGCTGTATATATCCTACATAGACTATGTAAAAGCCTACGACAAGGTAAATCGAAAGATCCTTCTTCAGAAACTAGTGGATCACGGCTGTGGCAAAAGGTATCTCCGAGCTATTGCGAGTAGTTTAACAGACACCAAGAACGTGTTAGGAAACGTTTGTTTCAAATCAACTACGGGAGTAAAACAGGGAGCGGCAAACAGCTGCTCTATGTTTACTTTTTACATTAACAGCACCATCAGGGCTTTGAAAGAATTTGGTAACGACACGTATTTAAAAAACCTGCATTGTCTATTATTCATGGACGACACAGTCGTCCTAGCAACGTCCAGAAAAGCTTTAGACAAAAAACTATCGCTTTTGATTCGGGCAGCGAAGGATATCGATATGGAGATTCATCCCGAAAAATCAAAGTTTATGACAGTAAATAGCAACGATGATGTTCCGTTTTATTACGATCACATTGTTATAGGACATGCGGAAAAGTACGTGTATTTAGGCTCTCAAATAATGAATGCCCGATTGTCTGATCAAGTGAAAACAAACATAGACATGAAACGGAGTCACTTGATCAAGTTCGGTTCCTTTTTAAAGAAAAACAGTGAAGCTCCGTTTTCAGTAAAAAAATTAGTTTTTGAGAGTGCTTTGAGCAGCACAGTTTTGTATGGCTGCGAGAGCTGGTTGTGCAACAACCTCCAAGCAGTGATCTCCCCAATATTAACGGCTCAAAAGCAATTATTATCTGTAAGAAGCCAAACCTGCAACGATTTAGTACATGCAGAGTTAGCTTCCCCAGACGGCAAAGCAGTGGTCCAAGAAATTCAAATTTCCTTTCTGAGGAAGCTCACAAGCCGATCTGATTTTGTAGGCAGCCCAGCTCACTTTGCCATGCAACTGAACAGGCAGGCAAACACAGCCGCGAGCTCATATATCGGTAATATTATGAAAGAAACACCAGGGTCCATTCGCGAGCGGAGCCTTCAAAACATACACATGAAAATAACAGGGTCTGAATCTTCCAGGAGAAAAACATACATCGATTTTAATGCTGATTTTACGGTTCACCCGATATATACTAACAATGTTTCAGAACGGGCTCGTACAGCACTTACACGACTAAGGCTATGCTCACACCGCCTTAGAATAGAGACAGGGAGGTGGGCTAGAATCCCAACAGAAGAGAGGCTATGCTCCTGTCGGCTCGGTGTGCAAACAGAGGCGCATGTACTTTTAGACTGCCCAATCACTGAGCCACTTAGGAGAAATTTTACAATGCTGAGCTTTGATAGTTTGGCAAGCTTGATGAAAAGTAGTCCAAAGGATTTGGCCATATACTCTCAGAGAGTTTTGCTGGCATGTGAGAACGTATGACGCGACGGATTTTAATGTGGTGTTTAGGTATAGTTTTAATGGACGCTGGTTCTCTGTATGAAATGTTTGACGGTTTTAATATGTTTTGTATATGATCTGTTTTAATGGACACTTGTCTTCTGGGTTTTATCCATCTAGTACCTAAGACTGTGTCAATAAACTACTACTACTACTACTAGCTTTTACTCCAGCAGGAGTGCACCTTTCTAGATATATCGGTTATGTGGCGCTCTGTTCCGGTTCCACACACGCACAACTGTTCTGTCAGGGCGTCTGAGCCAACTACCATACTCCGCTCAGCCGTCCAGCTCGTTCATGCAGCTGACAGCTGTAGAGTGTGCAGCTGACACTGGAGTAACAGCTGGACGGCCGGACAGCTGAAACGAACTGATAATGAACGACACATGATTGAAATACAACACCGGCTTCACGGTTATGACGCTATTTATTTATGCAGCAGCATTAAGTGTAATTTTAGGGTTAAAGTACTGTTTTTACTCTTCCCGAATCGGTTTTCCGTTGTTCTTTTCAGGGCCAACGTAGCTGAAACACTTCCTGTCAACTTCGTCCCCACCACCACTGGCACGTCCGTTGCCTGCCCCACCTCCCCACCAAAACCATCGCTCTCTCGGCTACCAACACCATCGCCCCTTCCTTCACCACCACCCTTGCTACCGTCACAACCACCACCATCACCGCCATCGCCATCGCCATCGCTCCACCATCGCCATCACTCCCTCCCCCAGTGCGGCCATCGCTCCCTCCGCCACCGTCACAGACAGCTGTCCCCTCTTGTCCCACGCGGAGGCTTAACGTCAACACAGACCATGCATAATGCATGCAGCGGGGGCATTGACGTAACCTCCATATGGGAAGTACTTTCGGGTACGGCACAGACAGGCAGCTCGAAGTCGATTCCTGTCGCTCGCGGGCGGAGAATCGAATACGCTTTTTTGTCCCGTGCCATGAAAGGTGGATTTTATGGACAGAGTTAGCCCGCTTAGTTGCCTCGAATGACCCGTCAAGCACATACTGAGACTGATTTCCTGGAATTGTCAGAGCGAGCTCATTTACAATGGTTATTGCTTAGCGATAGAAATATCAATAAATCGTTCGCTGTCCCCATGCTAGGTTGCTGTTTCTCGGAACCACCGTGTCAATTACTTTTCAATCCTGGCTCCCTTGGCATCTTTCCAAAGGTAGCCTTTTTATGAGTGCCAAAGAGCCGTGTGGATCATATAAGCCATTTATATTTTGCAAAACATGCAATTAATATGATAACATTTAAACATTGGCAATACAAAACTGATACGGCTCAACAATGCCACTTTACAACTGACAGCAATTACTAACTATATGACTGACGGCTGAACCGTTTGGCATTGCCACGTGAGAAATCACGCCACCCAGCGCGTAGTAAACGGTTGACCTCGCAGACAGTATGCCAGCGTGGGAACCCGGAGAGCCACGATCAGCCACCTGACTGGCTGACAGCCTGTCTATGTGGCATGTCGAAGGGTGTCCCAGCGGAACGTTTACACTGTCAGTGTATGGAAATGCGTCACGATCCCCTCGTGGGGATATAGGGGTGAGACTTTAGTCTCGACAGTCGAAGCGGACGATGACTGGAGAGAGTGCTAAGCCAGAGGAATAGTGAGACAGTGTTGACACCAGGGAGGTGTCACAGTCTGTGTTTGGGTCTCACAGGAACTGAGTCACGCCTGTGGTTATGTTTGCCCCTGCTATGTTTGTGTATGGCTCAGTGCATCTGTCTGGGAGTTCTAGGGTAGTCCGCTGCGTGTGTCTGGGAGTTCTAGGATAGCTCGTTGCGTGTGTCAGGGATTTCTAGGCTTGTCCGTTGTGTGCGCTGGGATTTCTGCAGAAGTCTGTGGCATATTCCTGGTAGTTCTGAGGCTATCCGTGAGCCTCTCAGTGGCTATGTTGAAGGCCCGTTGCGCCGCTTCCAGAACTCCCAAGTCCGACGGTGTGGTCGATCTTGTCTCTCTGATAGCTCTATGGTTTGCGTCCCTCTGATATCCTGCTGAGGTGAAATGGAAACGCTGGTGGGACGGGATGGATAGTGGATACATTTGTCACTGGGAGACGACACGCGGCTGATCGCTGAGGTACGGTTCAGGACACGATCATCGATCAATGACTGGGGCCAGTCAAACACACATTGAGTCAGAGGGAACCGTGGCGTATTTCGGTTTCTGAATACGCTGTCAACCAGTCCTGCGAAAACGGAAGACGTTGAAGTTCACTGTGCTCATATTACTTCTTTGAAGCGAGATTTCATTAGGACGCTTTTCTTGGACTTACCTGGAGTGTATGTCTGTACCCTGTAACCCCATGCCAGCACAGGTGCCTAACCAGCATTACCATAGCAGTTAGTCATTTGCATCTGAGCGACATGCGTGTACATTTACTGGCACAGATGATCAATATTTCACAGAGACTTTCTGAAGAAGCAATGGATGCGATACAGTTTTTGCGAGCCCCTCGCCAGTCACATATATCCAGCGTGGCCAATTATATCGAAACTACATGCATATGTAAATAAACACAAAAGTCACAAAATTCATCACACGCCAAATCACACATCCCGTCAGTTGTCCCACTGCCCCCTCCCCCCCCCCAAGTCCCATGGGTTGGCCCGGTCGGCCGTTGTTCGGAAGTGCCACTGTTTCCGGTGTTGATAGTGACCGCCGGGTCAGTCGGACGTCGCTCCAGTGACCGGCTCCCAAATCTAGACAGACACAGTGCGACTTTGCTGCTTACTAGGGGTAGGCTGTGTCAAGAGTGGTCTGTGGGAGAGGCTGTGGGGTCTCGTAGCCCCAGGGTGGGATGAGAGGGACTCTCGTGAGGCTGTGTGACAGTGGGCTTTTGAGCGAGATCGATGGATACAAAGTGGTTGGAGAATGACTGATCGGGGAACCGGAGTCGGGCAGAGACAGGTATACGACGTAATCGGCAAGACGGTATTGCCGCGGTGTGTGGTCGTAGATGCGGCAGCTTGTTTGATTAAAATCAATTTCTCTTATGTTTGTAGCTATTACACGCTTCTTCAATTTGAAGTTAACCCACATAGCTCAAATTGCCATGTAGGAGAAGAGGGCGGATGTGTTCTGACGGCCATTTAGCTTACAGGTATGAAGCCTACAATCGCTACAGCCTGTTCTCAGTCCTGCAATGTCATGACCGTTCCTTATCCCCATACCATGACCCTTAACCAGGGGCTGACGTACTCTTTCTGTGCTTTCCGCAGGCTCGGAGGAGGGTGGCGTCGCGCTGCTGACCACCGGCGGCCCGCCCCCTATGACCCAGCTGGTGCCGGGACTTCAGGAGAACGTCCAGGACACCTCCAACCTCGCCCTGCCACAGGACCTGCAGGTCAGCTGGGGGACGATCAGGGTGGAATGATTCCGTTATAGTTGGGAAAGGAATGTGTGGCTGATGATGGCGTGGTGCGGTGCTTTGCGATGTGTTAGAAGTCGCAGGAAGTGGGGGTATTTGATGGTGGTTATTTGGGGTTGACATGTACCGTTGGCTAGTATTTTTTGGCGTGTTGCTGTGTAAGAGTATTGGATTTACATTTGTGTGTTGAGTTGGATTCCTTTGTCTGTGTGTTGTTGTTGTGTGCCGTCTTAGCTTTGTGTGCGACTCGTCTGAAGCGGCGTGGGTCTGACCTTCCCCTCGGGCGTTCCTCGGTCGGCCGAAGGGGGGCCGCTGAAGCCGTGTTCAGACCGGGTGTCTGGCGTTCCGGTCATGATGTCAATGTGTCTGCCGACGCCGCCAGATGTTTTCCATGTGGGCCGTGGGTTTAGGTGACGTCATCGCAGCAGGGGATGTAAATACTGTCGTTATAGGTCGTATATATGTGAGTCACCATTTTCATGGTCACATGCAAGCTGAGAAAAACTGCGTTAATACTTAATATTGAATATAAAGGCTAGAGTACCGAAGCATGGTATTAACCCAATGCTATAGACATCGTTTGGTAGTATACCAAAAATTTGACACCGGTCTGTTGCCAGCATGGCCACTAGAATAGGTCGATTCCGTTCCAACTAAACTACCCAGTACTCCCGCCATCCACGGTGAAGTTTAATTATTCAGCTCCGTAAACAATTAGTGTGGCCTGAAGCGGATCAATGCCACAATATATGCTGACGTGAGGCCCAAACTTTATGCCCCGTCAAATGGACCAAATAGCACACAGTGCACTAGGCAGAGCAAGGTAATGGTTCGTTTAATAAACACTAACGGAATTATAGTTTCGATTTCTAACCTTTGAAGCCCTACCTAAATAAAATAATCCGCTTATGTAAAACGCTTATGGAATGAGGTTTTACTTTGAATTCCAGTTTGGAAGGTGTGACAAGTGACAAACTACATACATATCATTGTCATTTTTAACCAAGCTTTGGAAAATATGTCTATTGTCTAGCCTATCCCAAATATGTCGTTGAGTTTTAACATTGAGTTATTTAACTTTCTATTATTGTGGTCAGAATAGAACGCAATCAACACTCAGACTATTTCCAAAGCTGCTCGATTCGGATTTTTGTTTTTACCATTGATGAAACTCATTTCCCACGATTTCGCCCAGTCGTCTCCTTCAGGTTGCGCTGTGTTTGGGCCCGGATGTGGTCGCTCCTCTAACCACCATCATCATCTCAACAATTGGCCGCGGTGGTCGGTCGCAAAGAGCGGAGAAACCCCGCCAGGCCGGCCGGGCTGTGACCGGTGACCGGTCCGCGCCGTCCGCTGGGAAAGTGTCCCCGCGGAGTAGCCAGCAGGCCGGAGCGGACGGCGCCCCCAGTTCCCACGGGACCGGCAAACAGGATGCGGACAGACGGGGGCCGAAATCGCACCCCTCCCCAATTGGTTCCGATTTGTGTGTCACTGGGTGCTCAGCATTATAAAGAAAAGCGTATTTTCAATGGCACTTCAGTGCTCCGGGAAAACAACCATGCTTACAGCATACTTTTTGTCGAAATTCATTCAGGATGATGCAAGGAATGATAAATGGTATCTGCTATTGATTCATTGATGTCGGAGGAAACCCTTCAATTTCTTCCATGTTTTGTAATTAGGTGGTCATTCGTCAAAAGCTGTCTTGTTCGTTAATTGTATGACCCCCATTTATGTCTAATACGATGGTACCTTTTTCATTGTCATTGAAAGGAATCGACCTGAAATTATCTTCGACTGCTGGGTTTTGATTTTAAACATGCTACATGTATTGCTTATCGCATGTAAGCCCCTTTCTCTATGATTTAGATGCAATGAGCTTGTCAGAAGGGGCATGTTCAGCGCAAAGCACTAAGAGCAAGAGTTTCTTTAAATGTCCCATAGATGTCACTAGTGATGCCGCCTGAAGGTATGCTGTACCGCAGTGCCTCAAACCGTGTAGCTCAACGCGGGAGGGGCGTGGGCGAGAAAGCTGCGTTATTTGATCCGCAAAGCGCCTAACCGTGTCCATGTCGCTCAGGCCATCTATTTTATCGATTGTCTGCCGTCCATGTGCATAATGTGCAGCTGGCCCACTTTATAACCCGGCCGACAGTCGGCGACGCAACGGCGGACCGATGGCAAACGGCGGGCGGGCTTTTGTAGGTTATATGTTTTATCGGGTAGTTTTAACTTTTAATCGGATAGTTTTTAACTTTATATGTTTTATCGGGTAGATTATATTACCTAAGAAGCCAAGGTGGTAATTAGTTTAAAAGATGCAAAATTGAAGCCATTTGCTTAAAGCCTAAGAAAAGTCGGTCCAAGCACCGCCGTAAGAACTGCGGCGGCGCGGCGGTGGCGGAGGGGCGGTGGGACCGAGGTTAGCGCCGGCGGACGAAGGGACGTTCATATACGAAGTGTGACACGTCGGTGTCACCAGGCAGTGGGCGGCGGCGGTGTCTCGTCCTGGTTTACGCACGGTTCCAGCTGTGACGCTGGGGCCGGCGGTACTCAGCTTATTTCAGGCCCAGTGGAGGATGACCCGTGGCTGCACGGTCTCTCTGTCTGTTGCCGTCTGTCGCCGTCTGTAACGCGAGTTCTGTGTCGCACTGGGCGGTCCCTCAGGCTGTGAGTGCTTAGTGGGTTTCCAGGGTCTCCCAAAGTCATGCTTAGATTGCAGGCCTTAGCAGGGAAGCAAGTTTAAAACCCACAGTTTGGCCATGGTTTCCTTTGCACTTGCATATCATTGAGTGAAAAGGGTTGGGTAGTTATGCGTGGCTCCCTGTGGTAGTGGATAGTAGCTCACGTGCTTTCTAAAAGGACCCTACTGCAGCTTGCTGAACTCAGAACACCCACTTGGCTTCTGTGACACAAATATTACGGCGCTTATAAATTATGCTATAGCATAATTCAAAAGTGCCATAATCTTACAGCATATTGTATCGATGTTAGTTCCTCGTCTGCTAGTGTCGACTGTGCCTGCTCCTCCCGTCCCATCTGCCCGCTCAAGCTCCGAACGCAGCCAGACAACTTGAGGCAGCTGGCCGGCAGCTGCGGTGACGCCCTCTGTGTCCTGTGTCCCCTTCAGCCCGTCGCAGCTGCCTCTCACAGGGCGGCGGCGAGACGCCGGCGGCGCCGGCCCGGCGACTGTTTGGACACAACCGTTGGCCGTCGCCGACATGCTCCATTACCGGTTACTTGGAGTCGTATTCCATGTCGGCAGCTGCACATGGCCGTGATCCGTGTTTTCGTTCGGGAAATACGACCTGATGCTGATAGGAGGCGCCGATACGATGGTATTTGTTTTGTGTATTCTCGGGAATGGTTCGGTCTCTCTGAGTGGCTTGTTGAGGCTGCTGCTGGTTTTGGTGTTAATTATGTGGGTCATGTTTGTTGTTGCGAAAGCGATGATGAAAGAGTTGCCAGCTTCCATCTTTGAAAACAAACAAAAATATGTTTATTGTCGATGCTTACTCCACAGCGAGTTTCGCTCAGATAGGTAACCAACTTTTTGGGAGCTGCTTAACTTTCCCTTTCTCTGACCTAGTCTTAAAGTGCGGGTCGGCTATTTTTGCTCAGAAAAGCGTGGGAACGTTTAGGCGCTGCACCATCCACCCACGTTTTGAGCTGCAGAGGCGGGGGCGTATTATGAAAGAGTAAAAATCTCAACTAAGTCCATTGCTTACGTAACTTACAAATTCACACTGCTACTGTCGACACACACACCTTTATCAGACGGCACTTCCAGGACCTCACACCAGTGTCGCTCCCTATTTGGATTCTGATCTCCATATCATTCAAAAGTTCCCACGATTACGTAGCCTATATCGTACCACGTGATTTTTCGTGTTTTTCTGCACCCGGCAGAGTAAGGTTGCAGCAATATGACGCACAGGCGCGGGGGATGGGGCGGGGTGGGGGGTGGGGTCCTTGTTCACTGCCCAGTGCCCAGTCCGACCGGCCCGGCCCGGCCTTGCTGCCGACCCGGTGCCTGTGAGTCTGTCGCGCGACTGGCCAGTCAGCTGCAGGACGCAGCCGCTGTGCGGTGGGCGCTCTGTGCAATGGTGCAACTGTAGTGATGCTGTGGTGACGTGGTGACGCGGTCTGGGGCAGTGGTGACTGGTGGTGAGGTGGTGCACCTGGAGCGCTCCCCCACAGGTGTGTGTCTGTCTGTCAGTGGGTGTCCCGCTCGTTCACACCTGTGTGCAGAAGGGCGTGTCTCTCCGATCGGTAGCCGATATCGGGTGTCAAGTGGTAGCCTCTTGAGTCGAGAGCTCCACTGTCGGACTGTTGAGAGGTGATTGGGTGAAGAGATTTAGAACAAGTCCCGTCCCTGATTAACAGCTGATGTGAGTTATTTTATGTTGTCGTCTGGTTTAAAGAGTTTTTCCCGTGTCCGTGATGGAAACAAAGTACTTGTATATTATGTTTATGACTTACTTTTAGTACCTATTTGTAAAACCCAATGTTTGCTTACTCTATCAAACCCCTCTGCCATTTCGGTACAAAGAACAGCCGCCCCCTGACCTGTGCGACCCCTCTCCACCCTGCACATCTGACCCACAGCTGACCCAACCGACCCCTGCATACCATCTCTGACCCTCGTTCCCTTCGGCAGGACCTGAAAATCGCCACGCCGGACAAGCTGCGCCGGCACTCCGACTCGGACCATTTCGTTATGAAGAGGCCTCTGTCGCACTACATGTCAGACAAAAGCCACAAGCGCCTGGCGCGTGCCGTCTCTGAGTCGGGCGACGCACTGCCGCAGCTGGCACTTGCGGACGTACTCGAGTCGTCGCTGCTGCAGGGGGATTACCCGGCGCACGTGGACGAGACGCCCAGCGCCGGCGGCGACACCGGCTACATGCCCCAGGACGATGTGTTCGGTACTGTGGAGCTGGAGGAGTCCGGCTCGCTAAATGACGTCGGCCAGGGTCTGCTCGAGTCGGCTGGAGGGTACGGTGCCAGTCCCGGTCTGCAGCAGTTTTCGGAGGTCTCCTCCTACAACCGACCTCTGCAGAGTCCAACTGTGAACCAGAGCAACCAGGAGGCGATCGGGCCACCTGCGCCGCCTCCGCCGCCGCCCCCGCCGCCACCATCGGCCATGTACCCGTCCTACGGTGCGTACTCGCCGCTACCCTCGCCACAGGTGTTCCAGTACCCTCCGCACTCGCACGGCTCGCCGGCGGGATCACCACTGGCCGCGCGACACTCACCAATGTTGCAGTCACCCCTGGCTGCCGCGCAGAGCTCGCCACTACACAAGGAGCCTCAGAGCAAGTTTGCCTACATCATGTCCCGATCTGGTGTGCTGGGTCACATGCAGTCTCCTCTGGCGTCGCCGGCTTACCAGGGAGCGGGCTACCCAGCGGTGAGCACGGCTCAGCTAGACGGAGCGCCACAGATGAGTCTCTCACCAGCGCAGTATGTATCTCACCACCAGCAGTCGCCATCCCAACAGCAGCAGCAGCAACAGCAACAGCAGAGCTACCAGCCGCCAATGGCCAGCCACGACTACAACCTTCACGGCTTCGACGGAAACCTGTCTGGGTATGGCGGCACCTACCATCCGGCTACCTCGCAGGACAGTGGCGCCTATTCCGCATCGTCCGCCGGCTACCAGCCCAGCTATACGGTGCTCATGAGCTCGCAGGCTTCGCAGATCGGCGACGGCAAGACCACGCTGAACGGCCGGGCGGGTGGCGAGTATTACGTCAGTGCAGGCGGGGGTGGAGGTGGTGACCCAGGAGGGTATGGGGGAGAGTGGAGCGCGTCCGAGCGGCGGCAGGGGCAGTATGAGACCCAGTACGGCGGCGAGTATCGGCTCCAGGGCTACCGGGCACCAGGACAAGAGGACGGCGACGAGGACGTCTTCCTCAGCCCCGGAGTGTGAGTACCGCTGGGGAAGAAGGAGGGAGGGAGGGGGGGGGGGAAGAGAGAGAGAGAGAGAGAGAGAGAGAGAGAGAGAGAGAGAGAGAGAGAGGGTGAGAGGGTGGAGGGTGGAGGGTCGGTGACCTGACCGCGGGTGGTCACCTGCAGAGCCGGTTCCGGATGGGATTTGCGGTAATACTCCCGCCCATATGGCAAGATGATAACTATTTATTTGACGCCGTGAATCCGCAACGAGCAGCGCTCCCGCGGACTGCCGGTTGTGAGCTCATTTGAGCCTATTTTGTTTGCTTTGACGTCTATTTTGGCATGGCTAAATATCCTGGTGGACCGAGCTCCCACCGCTTCTTCATTGCACTTTGCAGTCTATGCTTCCGCGCGACTCAGAAGCGATTTCTTTGGCGCTCGTCCGTTTGTTAAATCGTCTTAGCTGGGATAATCCGCTGCTCTAATGCGGCGTTTTTGCACGGAATTCCCGGCGGCATCACACTGCCTTGGGCGTAAATGTTGGTGTAGAAGACCACCGCATCTTCTCGTTCACCCAGTAACTCAGCCACTTTTTTCTAACACGGCTCCCGCCCTATCACCATGCTCAACCTCACCTCAGAGAAGCTCCACGCTCCATACCCAACTTTGGGACTTGAAACGTTCATATCCTGCTGAGTTGCGGTTGGCTGATTATATCCCATAGTCGTGGCGGCGGTGTACGCCGTCTCAGGGCAGCTAAAACGGCTTATCTTCTTTGCATGTTTTCAGCTAATTCAGAGTCAAGTCTATTACTTTAGATATGGTAAATCGGCTAGCACCAGAGACTGCACCCTGATCGTTTTTTTTACGAGCATCTTGATATTCTCGACTTCAGATAAAGCGAGGAAATTGAAACATACCTCAATGATAGATATACCACAATCAAAAAACCTTCTTTCTTTAGTTTGTCTCTGTCCCTCCCATCTGACTTTTTCCCTCGAAAGCTGAGATCCTTCTCTTCTTATACGTATATAAGAAACTTGACTCTCGGTGCCAGGTTCTCGGGTGACTCTGCGTCATCTGACCTCTGTCCTCCATTCCCTGACCTCTCATCTGACCTCTGACCTCCACTGATCTCTCTGACCTCCTCCCACAGGCTCTCTGGCGGCCCTCTGCGGCAGCGGAAGCGGCGGCCGGCGCCTCTGTTCATCCCGCCGCAGGTCCACAGCCATCAATACCAGTCGAGCCTGCGGTCTCCGGCGCTGTACGACCCGTCGGCGCCCTCGGCGAGGTCCACGCCGCCCTACACGGCGCCCCCAATGTTGCCGCCCAGCCGGCCGGGCCCGGGCCTCTACTGGAACTTGCTGCCCGCCTCCGGGCCGGGACAGCCGCGCTCGGCACCCGCCCAGCCGCGCCACGCCGGAGCGCGACGAAGTAAGTCGGGAACGAGCGGGTCGTGGTGGGGTGGATCGACCTTTGGGTCGTTCTGATGAGATAAGAATAGGTAGGTCTAATAGCATCATATTGATTGATTTCTGTTACGACTGAACCATCGATGACGGATAAGTGTTGCGTCGTTCATTCGGAAACGGAACGGCAAGCGCACACACATTCAAGAAATGATTGATATTGGAACGATTTCGGATCCCAAATTCGTGCGAATGTGGAGATAAAAGCCGGCTAATAATTTTGCCGTGTTAGTATTACCTGCGATACAAATATGAAGCACCACGTCAGTCTGTGGTCTCTAAAACACTGCAAGCTGGTCGATTTCTGTACCTCATTACCTCAATGTTGACTTTTCGATGGATCTGACAACGACCGCCGATCATTCTCTCATCTAGCCACCTGATTTAGAGGCGACATTCCGCGAGCTCTTGTGGACAGAGGGGTGGCACGATCACCAATCTGATTAGCCCGCCGGTGACCACATCCGATACAGCCAGATCTGGGGCCTCTCTGCCCGCCCGGCCAGTGCTGTCATTTTCCTCCTCTGTCGATCTCGGTTGGCCGCAAGTGTCTCAGGATCGGCCAGAATTTATCCTTGTACTTTCCTTTTCCCATGCCGCTCTCTAGTACGCAAACTCTGAGCGAACTGGTGATTTTTGTGCGGCGATTTTTTGTGGTTGCGGTCGATTGCGACTCTAGTGATGTCAAGGCAAGACTGGGCGAGGCCAGTCTAGAGGCACTGTCTGGGATAGGCGCTCGCGGTAAAGAGAAATTCCTCCCAGCCTCGCTGGTCTGGGTTCGCTGTCTCTCGCTGTCTCTCACCAGCCTCCTTGTCCTCAGCTCTCTCCTGTGACAAAAATGCCACCCTGCCGAGTTAACCGCCCTTGGAGCCAGTTGGCGTCTCATTGCACACGTAAAGTGGGCCATTCCTGGCATAGCGAGCCCTGCTCTGCCCTGCGGCAGCGCTGTTGAATCGACAATGACCAGTCGTCAGGAATAGCCCCGGCCTCTCCGGCACTCCGGCCCGGGGCGTGGAACAGGGAAGATGTGGAATGTGGAGACTAGCGAGAGCTTCGTCAGAGAGGGTGGAGACTGGGGACTGTCAGACGCGGCCAGAGGATCGGAGAACATGGGTAGAGACAGAGGAGAGAGAGAAAGAGAGAAAGAGAGAGAGAGAGAGAGAGAGAGAGAGAGAGAGAGAGAGAGAGAGAGAGAGAGAGAGAGGGCGAGAGGGAGTGGAGCCCGGTTGTCGGACGCCACTCTCCATCAATCTTGAATTCTCGGACGTCTACTGACGCCTCATCATGGTGTCGCCACCAATGTATACAGAATTCATGGCGGCATCATTTGATGTTTTCACACTAAGGCTAATTGTTAAACATTCCGACTTGTTTCGATTCAATCGACGTCCATCTGCCAGAGCAGAAAAGAGAACGTGTAAGAGCATCAGTCGCATGTCCTCACAGCAATGAGCTTCCCGCTGATGAAAGACAGAAGCAAATGCCACTCCTCTGGCACTTGCGCGGCGTGTGCCTGCTCATTTGCGTGCCAGCGCATGAATGCGCCGAGTTGATGAGTGCCCCTGATGAGTGTTGCGCCCTTCGCGGGTGCCGCTATTTGTTTTTCAACCTCAGCGACCGGCGGGCTGGACCAAATCAAGGCAGCCGTTATCCGCAACTATTTATCGCGTAAATAGACGTCCCGACTGATAATGGCGGATAAATATTTATTGGGCGCCCTGCTGGTGAACGCCGGGACGTCGGTCCTGGCTCGCGGGGCGCCGTACTCGACGGACACAGGACAACGGTGTACCGAGGGCCTCAGAGTCGACAGGGTTTAGACTTAAGATTGTATGTTTCATATTTTCCAGTAACGGTAACCAGAAAACATGAGCGGGACAACGGTTGATTTCTGTAACCAGCCAGAAACGCTCTGCTCTCTTCCGTAGCCAGGCTGGGTCGTTCTTGAAAACACGGCTCGACATAGGGTGTGGCAGATTTCAGTTTCCCTCGTGAAGCGAACAGCTCGCGCTTCTGTCGGACCGTTTCGGCGGCTTTGTCGGAATGTTGCTTGGGCGTGGCTCTGGTAGATCACTCTCCGAGACACGCTGGTTTCTGCTCTGAGAATGTAACCGCCTAGAAAGTCGAAGGCGGGGATTGAAGTCTCCTGCGACTAGGCACAGTTGTAGGCCGACGACAGGCGAATACCTTGTTCGACAAGTGTTTCATCTGGCTTCCCGCTCGGCTATCCGCAACCGTCCGCACTCGGGTGCACTCCTTGTGTTCGCCTAGTGCCGGTCTCACGAGACACGCAGCTCTTTGTCTCCCTCCGAAGGCCACCCTGATCGCCGCTCTTCCACACCACATCTAGCCCCCGTCGCCGATTTGGCCAACCTTCCGCGAACCGCTCTCATAATTCGTACGAAGAGCCGGCGTGCAAGGAGGTGTTAATTCAGGCCGGGGCCGGTTTTGGCGCGCGGGGCCGTCTCGGCGGTGGCGGCGGACTTTTGGCGTCGTTAGCGCCGGTTAGCTGCCGTTGCTGTGTCGAGGTGAAGTAATACGGAGGGATTACAAGCTACATGGTGTGCTGGACGGGACGAAATCGGGTGACGACCGGCCGGAGACTGAGGCCGACGGGTGACTGGTAATGTATGGACGGCGGACATCGGTGGACACCGTGGAGCTGCGTAGTGCTGCTGTCGGTCTACTTCTGTCGATTTGTCACTGACAATGTGACAGTGAACGGGTGAAACCGATCGTACAGAATTGTCACACACTTGGTAGCACCTTGAGCTGCTGAGGCGTTGTCTTTGTTTCACCTTCCTCGCCAAGTTCGAACGATCATTCGGACGGTTCGGCTCTAGCCCCTCTGTGTCTCTAATTCTTCTTTACTCTGCGAGAGACGAAGACGGACTTGTTTGTTGTCTGCAGGACAAGTCGATGCCAAAGTGGCTGAGGTGACGGTGCTTCTGGCACACCGCTTGTTGGTACCGTCGTCCGTCACAATTTATAGCCAGGAACGTCTTATCTTCTCGCACCTCGAACCGCGTCCCCGACAGTGCAAGTATCACCATCAGTTGCCGTATTTGCCGCTGATGGTCACACTGTTGACGTCAATGTCACCGAATCAAACGCCAACGCCAGGCTATTAGCGTAATTAATTGTAAGCTTAAGATATTTCGTTTATTTATTCGCCACCACTGGGCTCTAAGTGACAAATGTTCTGTGTTGATTAGACACCAAGCCCAAACATTTATTATTCTTATCCAAACCTGGGGATCTGAACCTGAAATCAGTCATGGATGGTGTCCACCGAGCTTGTCTCAAAAGCATCACTCGATCCATCATTGGAGATGAGTCACTGGACAGGTCTTCAAGACACCTTACCGGACACGCCCTCAGCTCATCCCACTCAGCCTTTTCCCAAGTACGTCTCTAGATTTAACTCACGTCTTGTCCCAAGTAGCGCCTCCGGCTGTCTGAGACTACATCCTCAGACAGAGAAGTGTTGTCCAAGTCCTTTGCCGCCTCTCCCACATGCGTCCTTATGTGATTCGTGCTCCCTGTTTTGCCTCTCGCCTGCCCTGTCACAACATAGAGCTGGTGCCCGTTGAGCCGACTGCACGACTCAGCCCGATACGAGTCTCAACGTCAGCCGCTGTGTGTTTGTTTGTCTGCGTGTGGGTGAGCCGGGATTCAAGGACAGCCTCACCGAGCCAGCATAGAATGTCGATTAGGCCATTTGCTCGGGCAAAAAGTCGATCCCGTCTGAGTCATCATTTATGCGCTGCACTATTAGAAAGGCTTTTAGCGAGACAAAGATGACGGTCTGATGCTTAGTGCGGACTGTTCCCCTAGTTATCGAAAACTCTTCCCCTTATTTTGTAGTTGATCATTAAACGCGACAAATGCCCGACTTTTTGTCTAGCTGGATTGCTGCCTGCTGGGAGGGCGATGGTATATCGTTTGTCTTCCAAGTTCCAGGGTTTTATTTTTCGGAGAAATCACAAATAATAACGGTGCTGCATTAGATACGCAGGTCTCAACATAAAGGGCCTCTGATCTGTGGAAAGCTGAAGCCCTTTGAGAAAGTAAGTTTCTTCATCTTCCTATCTTACATATAGTGCAGTTGGAAGAGAATATGACCTAAGAAACCTGCTAAACAATCATTTCCAGATGAGCCAAGATGCTAACCGCCTTCTCTTCGCCCCGCAGACAGTCTATCGGAGCAGCAGCAGATGGACTTTTACATGGAGCTGCCGCCGGAGACGGACGTCATCGCGCACATCAACGTCGGTCCCAAGTACCAGGCCACGGTGCCCGAGTATGTGGGCGACACGCGCCCCGTCGGTCTCGACGTGCACCGCGCCGAGCTGGTCTGGCACCCGCGCACTCTGGAGAAAATACCGCAGCGCGAACGTGAGTACTGAGTGTTTGGTGGTGGTGGCTGGCTCGTGTTGCATGATCAACTGTGAATGCATTGTGCTGAGATCGGTAAATGTGTGCCATACGGCAGTCTCAGCTTCCTAATGTGACGTTGCTTATCCGAAAAATCTGTCCGTCCGAAAATCGTCCGCACTACGTCTGTAATAAGACTACAGCCAGGCTTTCCAGAGGCTGGAAAACTTAAAGTTAATGTTTTGTAATGTGGTAATATTATATAATTCCCAAGAATATCGTATGACGCTTTGAGTCCAAGTCTAAGCGAACAAGAAATTGAGCATTGTACAAAATCGAATACCGCATAATTTCCCCTCTGCCGCCTACACTCTATACAGCGAGCGTCAGTTCGTTCGTCAGGCGTCTCTGTGATGGATGTTACCGGTCCAATTATTTCAGCATCACCCGCCCCGTGTATGAACACTGTGGAGAGTGATGGATGAACATTCGGCCGGCCGGTGACATGCCGAGATGGACATTCGTTTATTGTTCATTTGTTTGCCGCTGATTGATATCCTTCCGATCACCAGGGCTTTGGTCAGAGTCAGAGAGTTGAACAATAAACAACACAACAGACAATAGGTTACGCTCCCTGTCTGTCACCGACGGGATGTTGTTTGGGGCGCTGTGTTTGGTGACATTTGAGTTGCTCTTATTGGGAAGAACACCACTGGTAGGTAAACCCCGGTTACGTAACGATGGGACGTTTTCTCAGCTGGGTACCTCCCATGACTCTACATCCGGCCTTTCCCGGTGGTCAGACAGACGGTCATTGTTAGCGCCGTGCGGTGACGCGTGGTTGTCACGAGGGGTTGTCATTCATGTAAGTGACAGCACAACCTCAAGCCCGGTCAGTGGGTACAGCAAGGCAGACGCGCTGTCAGTGCTTAGGGTTGTGTGGAGGGCCCCGGGCCCGTCAGGCCAGCAGCCAGCTGGGCGCGATGGGCCGTAGGCTCATGCACGGTCGTTCGGCCGTGCTGCCTCATGAGGGCCTGACCGAATCCCTTGCCACCCAGGCCCGCTTCGCTCCCTCAGGGCCCGTCTCCCCTCATCAGGGCCGGGTCGCGCAGTCCATATCGATTCCTCATGGTCGGTCTCGGCCCGTCTCACCACTCCAGTCGGACGGCCCGCTTCGCCTCCTCAGGGACGAAGCGACCCGTCTCGACATCGCATGGCCCGCCTCTCGGTTCGTCTCGCCACCCCCGGGCCTGGTCGGGTGGCCCGTCTAGCCCCCTCAGAGCCCTGTCGGGCGGCCCGTTAGACGTGGGCGCGCTTCCTGGAGCTGTTGTGACCACCCAGGTCCCGGCAAGTGACCGGCCCCGTCCAATGATTGGACTTATCGTGCACCGTGTCGAATTCGACCCGCCGACTTCGTCGAAATGCTGAACCCGATGAGTTGTTCCAAATAACCCATCGCAGGAGACGTAAATATTTGAGTTTGATATTTGAGTGATGTATGAGTCGAAGACAGCTGTTGGGTTTCCGGTTCACTGGTTTCGGGGTGACATTTGTCGGTGTTTCGCCGTTCTTAAGCTGTTTGTAACCATAAGTATTATTCAATGGCTGTCCGTGTTTTCCAAGAATCATGTAGATGACGGTAATGTTCAAACAATCCATCAACACTTGTCATTAGAGGTCACTTTGCGGTGACTGGTAGTCATAAACAGACCAGTTTCGGCTATATAGTCTCACCTAAACTATGGTAGTGGTCGAACGGGATTTACACACGCAAAGTAGGGGCCGAGGCGCGACCGTTTCTCCTGGTGACAGTTGTCGTTCAGTGATCAAAGTTTCACCGCCATCGTGCTCATCCACCCTTTATCTGTAATTCAAGTGTTCCGGAATCACCAATATGCAATCTCCACTATTGGACACACCCGGACCCATAATATGACTTATAAAGTTCCTATCTAAAACAATTGGACGATATGTGTCCTGTGTCCCTATTGACCGGTTTCTGAGCACTCAATTGACATGATTTTTTGTTTCCAGTTGAACAAATCAAAGAATTGGGTTCCCAGTTGACATGTTCCATCTGTCCCTGTTGACTGTTAACATGTGCTGTCCTCCCAGTTGACTTGCGACCTCTGTTCCCAATTGACCTGTTTCCTCTGTTTCCAGTTGACATGTATCTGGAGTTTGCGTGCTGCGCCTCGTCACCTGCCGGTGGCCGGAATAAGGAGTACGCCCTCCACCTTCTCCATATGACCGGCGGGAACATCAAGGTCAGTCCCCATCCCGCTCAAACCCTGACCTGATCAACACTCTTCAACACACACTTCTGTGTCTTGACCTTGCTTTTTCACACTCATCCAACAAAAGGAATGCATCAGGCCGCGCCGTCATCATAAGCAACACAAAAACCCCGGCATTGACCCCGCAGAAATGCAACGGACAATCGGACAGACGCCTTTCTCCTTCCGGTCCACTCGCTAGCGCAGCTCAGTCTTGACTCGTAACCTGAGTCCACTCAGGTCTCAGTGCAACACGAAGGGTGGCATCTGACCCCTCGTCATCCCTCACCCCTCCTGACCCTGCACCGACCCTCGTATTGTTTACCAATCCTCTGTTGACTGAAGCTTGGCGCCACGACGGCGGAGGTCTGTACGATGATCCAGCGATATCGCAGTGTGATGTCACACGTCAGCTGGATGACGTCATTAGGTCACCCCTTAGGCATGACTATAAGATTACTGGTATTTGCGTACTGTATGGTGTGGGTGAAAACCATCGTTTAGGACGCCGCACATAAAACTATGGTAGCTCACTACTTCAGTAAACTGGACTATGAAGCGTTATCAACATTTCGAGTTATGAATACTTACTTTGTTGCCCGAAAAAAGTAAAAAATGCGCCCAAAGTCGAATTTCTAGCTAGTAATATATATCCGGGAAGCTGTGGAGAAGAACTTGTATCGGCAGCTTTTGCCGACGGCAAGAGTAGAAAATAAATAAACCATTCATTTCATTGAACGTCCTCGCCTCTGGCTTCACATTCCTCGGATCTCTTGCTAGAATCCCATTCCTGTCATGTTTTATTTTACCAACATCATGGGAAATCTTGTTTTGTGGCTCCGCGTCGCATTCCACACTTAATGAATGCTTTGACCATGAGCACCTGAACTTGCTTGTCTGCGGCGTGCCTCAAAGCCAGTCAATGCCACAACTTTTTCAGCATTCCGAGATAAAGTAAGGCTGGTTTAGACAGCTCCTGTTCAGAACGTAACCCATTATCAGCTGTCAACCTCTCAGAGACAGAGCTGACCGGGAAACTATTTGCCCCTGGTGTTATGAAACATGTTTGGAACCAAACGTCAGGCATATTTGCCAAATGCCGTATCTTACACCATCGAAGTGTTATAATCTTTTCTTATCGGTGGTATTACGGTCAGCTGAACAAATTCCTTGCTCAGCACCATGAATGAGAGGTCGACTCAACCAATACGGGAACCTTGCCTGGAGCTGTCGGATGAAAGCTAGTTTCAGTGCGGAATATGCTCTACCACATGCATGCCAATGCGTTCCGGTGCGCTGTCCTATAAAGCTTTTCGCTACCGTTTCCTTTTCCGGTGTATTGCCATCAAAACATGTTGTCATGCATTTTACTTGTATATGGTTTGTGGTGTAAGTGTTGATGTGAAAAATAGCTTTTGAGCCGTTTCCTAATTTCGATGAAAATGAATAAGAAATGGGAAATACGAGATAAGTGCAATATTGCACTTATACGTTTTTACGTTTTGCACTTATACGTTTTTCTTTTTGTCAAACTAGTTCCACTGTTTTATTTCGGGGCGAATTTGCGACATCGGACCACACCCCAATGCTGCACTATAGTTTCGCAAATCCTGGTCACCGTCCAGTTGCCATTTTTTGGGCCTAATTGCATAATGGGAGTTGAACCCTCGTAATAGGCCAAGGTCATTGCACAAGGTATGGACACATATAGGTGGGCAGTGGGCACAGTCACTGACCGCGTTGCCCAATGAATATAAATCAAATACCACCTTGTTGTTTTATGGTGGTTTGTAACATTATAATGCATAGTTATTCAAACATCGCATGATAAACGAATTTTATACATCCGTCTTCTCCAAGTCATGCGTGATGCGTGTCGAACGGTTACGAGCTATTCATCGAAAACAATAGCAGCTCAGCATACAATGGTCAGTGCCTCTTTCCCAGCTATATATCAGGTGTGTGCGAGAGGGTATGCGCTCGGAAGCTGCTCCTTTTTCCGCATTGCTGTCATTCATAGGGAGACAATGGATATATTTTCAATTGAAAGAAGTAGGTATGTCCTCTAAAATTGTCACGCTACTATTTTGACTTTCCTCTTGTCATGACGGGTTAGTATGACCCCTGCGGCCTCTCGCTCATGGGACCATGACACTTTGTGAACAGTTTTTAACTCTTGTGACCTCGCTATGACCCTATCTGACCCCGCTATGAACTTTCTCTGACCGCAGTGACTTTTTACCCCAATACTACCCGTTTCTAGCCCCTTTTACCTTACTTGGGCCAGTGTCTAACTCTAACCCCTGTGACCCTTGTCTGATCACTGTGACCTCTGTGACCCCACTGTGACCCTCCCCTGGCCCCTGTGACTGGCAGGACGCCATGTACCGTCTGATGCAGCCGACACCGCACCTGCCCAGCGATCACCCACTACTGGCTCTGAGTGGCTCGGAGGCTGGCCGCTGGACCCAGCGCGAGATCCAGACCTTCCAGCAGGCGCTGGCCAAGTACGACAAGGACTTCATGCGCGTCTCCAAGGAGGTGAGTCCCCCCAGCTCAGGCTGTCTTGCCTCAGTTGCTTGGATAGAATTGTTAGAGTTGTACCAGATATAGTCTGCTTTTAGAAATGGTGAATGGTTCTCTAAAAAAACAGATTTTTGTTCCCGTCGTTAGGCGAATCTCAGAAGCAGACCAAATCTATCGATTGCTTTTGAGTCGTGGATGTAAACGCTTGGACCTCTGAATATCAATTATCTAGGAACCTAAATTCATCCATGAGTCATAGTTTATTTTCCCGATGCCACCCGCGTCCCCAAACGCCCTTCCCGCCCCTCCCTCGACGCTTTTCGGGGGACCTCGCCAGGGACGCCGATTAGCGCCAGTATGTACCACCCGAGCGTCACCAGAACCCAGCTGTTCGTCTATTGTTATGACCGACAACAATGCCCACTGCTCGGCCATGGCCCTCCGTCTGTTGGCGCCATTTTTCGTCGCCTACCAGAAAATGGCGGTCGGCAGTCTCCGGGTGTCGGCCTCGGCCCTCTGTCCGCCCTGGCCCTGTGACCAGCGATCGGGTGGGGACCGGTAATCTGCCCGCTTCAGACCCCGCCGCCGCACCGCGCCGCCTCGCGCAACACCGGGTCAGCCGCCTTTGTTCTCAACATTTTTGGCGCGAACTTTTGCCGCGTGCGGCTGCCGACCGCTGCTCTCACGCTCGGCGCGGCGCGAATGCCTGGCGCGCCATTTTTGTAGCGGCGCGATGTCGCCAGATAGTACGGCCGTGTCTTTTTGGAGGTGATCGCCGTTTACGAGGTGGGACAGGGAGCCACCTGTGCCGCCGGGCGGGGCCGGACGGACAACGCGGCGGGAGCGGGAGATGTGAAAGGGGCGCTGGAACCGGGGACTCGAGGCTGGTTAGACGAGTGATGAAGGCTACAGGAGTTGTTCTGAGAAGGTGACGCCCCGGCCTGTCCCAGCAATGATGGCCGCCGGTGATGTAAGGGTTTGACTAAAAGATGCGCTTGTGATCAATAGATCGATCGAAGCGGTGGTGTGTCACTGCATTCTCGAAAACGCCACAAGTTGACGTTCGATCGCCAACCAAATCCCAAGGAGAAGGAAATGTGTATGAAGACGAAACTAAACCAATTGCACGGGTCAATCGTGAATCTCTCGGACACCTATGGTGCTTTTCTGTCCAATATTTTTATCATGGTCTCATTGTTTGCCTAACATAGACTTTTGAAATGGGACCGCTGCTTTTATCGCGATAAATTTGGTGCATGCCACGAGACAAATATAAATATCCGGCACATTTTGCCTATGATACCAAACCTCATGAATGCAGCATGGGCTTTTGAATATTATATCGCAAATGCGTTGGAAACTATTTTTGCCGGGCAGTACAAATATGGTGTCCGTTTTTTGTGCAGGTGCAGGCTCGACAATCGGGTAACGTCCTCTAAGGCCTTTCAGAATCGGAGCTGTTTCCAGCGACCAAAAGTTTGTGGTAAAAGCTGCGGTTTCGTCGCTCGCTGCAGTAAGCTTATTACAATGAGATGTTTGACATTTAATCATTTCAAATTCCAATAATAAGGAATCGGGTCACTCATTGGCGCTCCTCCGATGAAAGGGATATGAATTAAAAACCTGCTCTTAACTCTGCACGGAGCTCGAGGTTCTTTATTATACCACGGTGATGATTGGTGGAGTTCGGTAGAGCGCTGGAGCACGCCGCGACCGGTGCTTACCTGGCTATCTCGGCCTCATCACCGCTCAGCCGGAAATGACGGATTGTCAGGGCCTGGCCGGCGCGGTGCGACGCGGCGGCGGCGGCCGAGCCTTGTGATCGCCGACGCCCGATCGTCGCCCGATCTGACGTCACACCAGTCGTGACATCGTGACGTCATCAGTCGTGACGCCGTGACGACGCCGGTCGTGTGCCGACACCGTGACGCGCTTGGTGTCGAGAGGTCGCTCCCCGCGGAAGGGTGACTGACACTTGGCGGACGCCTAGACCCGCACGGCGGCGACGACGTCTAAACGTCAGATGACTTAATGATTTGCGTGTGGACTGTGGTGACGAGCTACTTCGTCAACTGCTTGCCTGATGCGTCACCATTGCCCTTCCCCTAGGCTTTATCCGTTTACCCTCGTTTTAAATTCAAGTCATTGTACCGGGACTCCCCGGCCTATCAGTCGTCGTTTACCGGGCCGTGGCAAACGGCGGCCATTGTTGTTGGGGCCCGCCGCCGCGGCGCCCGCCCGCCCTCCGCCATGAACCGTCGTCCCCATGGGGCGGCGCCGTGCCCGATTAACGAGACCTACCCTGTCCGATTATCGAGGTACTCCCAGGACGAATAAAAGTAACTGAGAACCGCAAGAGGAGAACGAGCCACTCTAAAGGATGTCAGGAGGAGAGCGAGAGAACAGAGAGAGGAAAAAGAGAGGGTAAGAGAGAGAGGGGGAGAGGGAAAGAGAAAGAGAGAAAAAGAGAGGCGGAGGAAAGAATCGTCCCTCTGAGCACACCCAGCATTTCTCGACTGGTTTACTAGCCCCGCCCAGATACCATAGGACATATCTGATAGAGAACCGTCTCCAAGCTCATTCGAGCTCCCTCATGACGGTCCTGACGGCCGGGTTACTGGGGCGAGGATACTGGAACAAGTCCAATGGTGGCCAGCGGACTTTCCACCCTGTCACGGTCGCCGTGGGAGAGACGGGGCATCAATGGGACCGCCGTGCTCTCGACAAGGACCGGTTCGGCAAGATGCCGGGATTTGGCCAGGAGAGCGGCCAGCAGTCGTGTGCAGGTGCCTCCAGACAGCGTGGCGCTCCATGGATCCCACAATCAGAGGAGGGCAGCAGAGGTGGCGGTCTGCAACATTGCTGGACACTTACTGCAAGACGGATTTTTTAGTTGAGGTTGGGGAGGCGGTGCACTGTGGGTAATTCTCGTCATGACGCCTATAAAACGGTCCATGTTTGACGGCTACGATGGCAGTGATTTATGAGTTATTGTTTATGGTTCGTGATATTGCTTTTTATGCTCGTATTAGTTTTTAGTTAGCCGTGCCGTGCAGAAAGCGCTGGCCACGGCGGCACTGACCTGTTGCGTCTGTGTCCGTTCCCAGGTGCTAACCAAGTCGACCAGGGAGTGCGTCCAGTTTTACTTCCTCTGGAAACGGATCTGCGTGGACGAGTACAAAAGGCTGCGCAGCTTGCGCAAACAGCGCGAGGAGCAGCTGCAGATGCGCATGCGCGCGGGCCCGGCGCCGGAGGAGCAGCCGCCTCAGGTCCAGCACCCGCCGCCGTCGCAGCACCCGCAGCACCCTCAGCATCCGCAGCAGCACCCGCAGCATCCGCAGCACCCGCAGCACCCGGTGCCAGCCGGGACAGTCGGCGCTGCACAGCCGGTAAGGACGGGGTCGGGCTGGAACGTTAATATCGGCGGACCTGTAATTAGACATCTATGACATCTATGTAATTAGACTCTATGGTTTACATGGTGAGACTCGCTGGATAATGGTTGGCGTATACCCATTCATTACACACCTTATGCGAGAAGACGAGTTTCTTTCGTCGTTTGAAACCGGGGCTATCGGGCTTAATCATTCACAGAAGAGGCTAGAAAAGTGGGTGGGGGAGAACTTGGCATGGTACACAGGAAGCGTTATAAATAGGTGCTTACCTCATCAGTCATCTTGATGACCAGCAGAAGGCGAGGCTCCCAGCCACATATCGTTGGGGAGGACGCGCGTGTTTCGCCGCAGATCCTTCACCAAAGAATGATAATCACCATTCCTTCCTTACGCCGGAAACACAGATGTAGCTTAAAAGTGACTTACGTAGGGATTATTATTTAATCATGAACCGTTTGCACCAGAAAGAACAATGACTAACAGCATACGTGTCTTCGTCTACGAGCCGCAGTTTCGTGCTTACCTAGTTTAGTAGTGCCAGACCATAAAAATAGCCACTCGTATGTTCTAAATTTCGCCTTCCTTTGTCCGATCACTGGCGTCCTTTCTCATACCACCCAGTTGTCGTGAGTCGTGACAACGTGCTATCGTCACGCCCCGAACCTGACATGTCCGGCTCTCGGGTCTCCAAAGCCTTGCGACTCGGTATTGAGAGCTCAGACTTCAAAACATATACCTACTTATCGTGGCGGTTGGACTATGTTGAGACGCTGGAAGGAGGCTTGGTAATGTCTGGATATCAGAATTACATCATGGGCTGTGTGTCTTAAAAGGACAATGGCTGACAGCACCAGTCTACATTTATGAATTACGGAAGGCGGAAGTGTCAATTCCAGAGGCCTGGTCCCATGTGATTTATAAATAACGGAACACGAGGAAACTAGACGTTTCTTTGTGCGTTGTCTGCGTTTCTAACAGGGTATTGTAGGCATAACTGAGTGACTAGACCTTGAACTGGACCTTATGTGGGGTGACTGACTTCAACCGATCGAACCAGCGTGGCCAGATTCAGTTGACAGCTTTCCTGCTCTCCTCGGCTGATTGTCATCTGTTGTCCGCTGCCCACTGGCACTGGCACCCGGTCCGTGACGGTGTTTGGTGCTCTCCGTGATGTGTGTCGTGTTTATGTCGTGAGACATAGCTCTGACTGATGTGTCTCCTCTGTTCGCAGTACGAAGGCTTCTGTCCGGACGTCAAGGCGATGGCCTACCCTTGCGGCGACTACAGCGACGGCTGCTCCACACCGGTAAGTAGTCTCGCCGCTGTGCGTGAGGGCGTGACTCGTACCTCACGAACCTAACGACTCCTGATCCCGTGATCCAGTCGTGGTGACGTCACGAACATATTGGTAAATTATTTTCTTCTTAAAGACGGAATCGTCAGTGCCAGCTTATGATCGTTCAATCCAGATTTTCCAGATCAGGATCCAGATTATCCATATCCAGATTCATGGTATCGTCATCAATGAGAATCATAACCTTTGATAAAATCGCACATATTCCACTTCTGGGAAATGGGAGGCGGCGGCTGGCACACTAGTTCATATGACGTGATTCACAAGCCTAATCCCTGTCATCTTCACTTCTTGGACGCCTTATCTTGTCGCGTTTCCAGGAGTTAACACGCTGAGAGAATGCCGATCGAAATCTTTCATACAAGTTAATCTGATCATACAGTTCTCTCGCACCACATATGTGGATTCTATTCTGTAGTCATGGACGGGACAGTTACCAGTTGCGATCATACATCAGAACTGCTGTCCTGATCAAGAACTTACTTCAATTCTCCAGCTAGGACTCGACATTCTCTCCGAGGAGCCGACAGCGATCCTGACACGTTACGGCAACTCTTCCGGTCATACATCGGGTCGGAATGTCCATCCACACACGGGCCACTGCCGACGGGCGGCGGTCGCTGCCGGGGCCGTCGCCGTTTGTGAGAAATGACGTGGAAATGTAATTACGCAGCCATTGGCTTAAATTCCGTAATGGACTTAAGTGAATCATCTACTGTCGGCTCGTGTTTCCGGGCGGTCGGCGGCAGGCGAGCCCTGAGGTCAGCGCGGGCTGCGGTGAGGTGTGAGTCAGGGACGGACCGCTGATCTGATGGTCAGCGCTGGTGTCAGCAGCTGAGTCAGATGTCTGACCGAGTGCTGACCGTCCACACTTGGCCAGCAGACTGCGTGGGTGGGTGACGGACCCGTTTGGACCCAGAATAATGCGCGCCTGTGCACTCCGTAGCCTTGGTTAGGTGCTTGTCAATGCAGATGATGACGTTACACCTGTTTTCAATGTCATTCGGGTGACTTTTTGAGGCTGTTGTTGGCAATTAAGTTCCCGAACCCTTTGGTAGGCGAAAGCCGAAAGCCGTCATCGAAAGGTAATCGTTATGTCTCAGTGCAACGCTTCGTGAGTCCACGCTAGCTAGAAAATATCTGTTTTTTATCCCGTGCCTCGACCTCAGACATATGAAAAAAATATTAATGAAGGCCATGATCTCAATAGTATGTGAATAAAGTACATGAAATAAATAAACGATAAATAAAAATAAGTGAAAATATCATATGTTTATTATAAGTTAGTAGTAACTATAGTTAGTTGTTTATTATAATTTGCATCTGCATTCTGATCACAAGTACCTATGTCCAACTACTGCGCTTCTGTAGATTTTAGAGCAGCTGGATTCTTGCCTGTAGCAGTAGCTTTCCTGTAGTACCTACCTACACCAATCTGCATCAGCTGAGTTAAACAGATACAAAGAGGGCAATAAAAACGATCGTAGCATCTGGTCCGAATCTGACCGCTAACGACTCCTAATTGCGCCGGAAAATAGCAGATTACCAGTGAAGAGCTGGCCAGATACGCGAGATCCGATTACGTCGCCTCAAGAATCCAGAGCTCGCGAGATAAGGCTCCTGGCTGTCCGAGACTGGCCATGCGAAGTCAGGAGGATTTACGTGCACGGTGCACTCTTGCGGTGAACAGAGCGCTAAGATGGTCGGAGACGTTTGCGGCGTCGGTTTGATGATCCATGACGATGAACGATACCTACAACACGTTGCTAATACAGCAGTGCCGCTCACCAATATGTTTTGTCGTTCGCAATGAAAAGGAAGTTGTTTGGTTTCTAGACGATTGACAACCGTTCCCATACAGTTTTTCGCAACCAGTCCATTCACCAGCGCTACATCTTTTCCGCCCAATGTTTCACTGATGAGTCTACCGGCGACAAAAGCAGTGCGCCCACCAATAAGCGTCATCATCATCGTGCATCGATCTGAGTGATGGGTTCTTAGTACCGTCATCGCAAAGTCTTTGACAAACGTTACTTCACGATGACAAATGATCGTTCAAAACACACAAACAAACATTCCCTGGAGCCTGTTTCACCATCACGTGCGACGTCATCATCCCTTGTGTCCCGTCGGCACATCAAGTCCCCCTGTCACTTCAACACATCCTGTCATCACCTAATGTGTGATTGTTCCGACGGTCTCTGTCCGCTAGTTTCTCTGGAAACGTCTCACCAGCGCGGTTCGTTGCAGGGTTACGCACCGCGGGGTGTGCTGCCGGCGCACGCTAGGCTTCAGTCGAGGGTGAAGACCAGGTCTCCCACCCCGGACAAGCGTAACAGCGCGTCGGCGGCTTCCCCGGCCTCCAGCCAAGGCGATGGCACCGAGGAGTTTCCCTGCAAACTCTGCGGAAAGTGAGTACCGAGTTGTGGGGTCTGCAAGAGTTCTTCATGAGGATTGTTTTGCAAAGTCGGCTACAGTCCTGTTTACGCATAACTGGACTGTTTGCGTTCAAACTTCAAAAGGCTTACGATAAGTCAAGTGGAAAGTCCCTTTAGTTTGCTTGTACTGAAACGGTCATAGTTCGAAATTGCTTGATGCTTCCAGAACTGCCATTTCATGCAATATATGACTAAAAGTTCCGGCCCTAAATGGGCTTAGAATCGCTGACGCTACCAACTTAAAGGCCACTGATTTTTTCAACCGTCCATCGTATCGTTTCCCATCGCTCAGCCCTTCTGAGCTAACACGATCGCGTCTTCCTCAGGGTGTTCTACAAGGTGAAGAGCCGCAACGCGCACATGAAGTCGCACCGGCCGCCAGACGCCGAGTCGAAGCGGAAGGGGGCTCCGCAGCGGCACACACCCCCGTCGCCCCAGTCGCAGCGGCCGCCGCCGGGCCGCGCCAAGCTGACGGGCGCGCACCACCTGGGCGAGCTGCCCTGCCTGGAGCCGGCCATGCTGTCTCTGCCCAACCAGGGCTACGTCATCCCCAACATGTGATAGCGCGGCGCCGCTAGCTCCTCGTAGGCAGCCAAGCGCGCCTCCCGCCGCCCACTGCACTGTGCTGATGTTGAATGTGATAGCCGGACCCGGTTTCTCTCGGAGCTTTAAGTGGGCCCGGCGGCGCGGTCTGCTCTCGACCTCGGGCATTGCGTGCTGCGAACAGGCTGGGGTTAGGTCGAGAAGCTGTTGTTGTTCTCTTGAGAATGTTTCGTGCGGTTTGATGAAACGAAAAAGAGGGTGATGCTTTTGCCGAGAATTCACGGGCCGGTGGCCTGTAAATGCTCGGCAAAGAAACGCCACTCTTCTGTCTTTGTCAACTCAGAATGGAATTTTACAAGAATATGGCGGCAGCTGCTGAAGCGACCTGCCTCCACCGTTCGTGGCTGGGTGCCTTTCGGTTGGCGTGGATCCGAAGCTGTGGCTCCTCTTTGTTGAGCACCGGCCCGGGACCGGCAGTGGAAGCTCCCTCGGTGTCGCGCGCGCGCTGTCGCGGACATGCTTGTTGGTTGGTGTGTGCGTGTGCGTGGGGTTGACGACGAAGTTGCCGCAGCACGTGTGTCCCACGTGTGCCAGTGCCCGCCGCACGTGTGCTCCTCCTCACCAGCGCCCCCTAAACATGCTCAGCCCAGTCGGACGGCCGGCAGCGCGCCGCCGAGCCGAGCGCTGTCCGTCCCAGCCCAGTGTCCGCTAGCAGGGTGCACAACACGCGTCGAACACCCACCGTCCCCGGCAGCCGCCGCCGGGTCCACAGCAGCGGCCGAGACCGGCGCAGCCGCCTCCGAATCGCCCGAGTCAATCAAAAGTGGCGCCCGGCGCTCCGCGCTCGTTCCCAGACACGCTGCGCTCGACTGTTTCCATGTTTTCGGCTGCATGGCGTTCTGATGTCGTGCTAATTCCGGATCAAGCTGTCGGTGTATAAACTAGTGTAAGGGATAGAAGCAACCGTAGGACCCGTGTGGCCATAATGAGTAGGGTTAAGCGACACAAGGTCGCCGATAACGGCCGTAAGACGAAGGGACCCTGACCGATTCCAATCATTCATCTCTCTGTGCGCCCCGCGGCCCGCAGTCCTTGCCACAACACCTATGCTGTGTAGTGTATGGTCACTGTACTGTTGGAATGCCCGCTCTGAGCCGGTCGCGCGCGGGCCGCCTATAGCTGTTGCGTTAAAAATCAAAATGTTTCAGAAGCTTATGAGGTGGCCCCGCAGATAGAACATGTCGGGGATGCCAATGTCATTATGTATGTACAAAGGTCGTGCTCACACATTCTATTGCTCCCTTTTTATACCATATACTTGGAGAGGTTCCGGGCTTTCAGGCGAGCGCGAATGTTTGTAGAGACTCGCCGAGTGTCCCGCTCACGTTGCCCAGTCGGACCCCTCCTGCCCGCCTGCTGTCGGCCCGTCACAGGCCAACGCCAGAGTGCCTTCTGTATTCCGTTGCAGTCCCAGTATTATTCCTTTGCTTCGACGTCACTGCCCTATGTAGCCGACCGCCTGGAGCATAATGTCGGGTGTGCCGTGTCGCCGCCCGCGGTGCAGATCTCAGATCCGCCCCCGCCCCCGCCCCCGCCCCCGCCCCCGCCCGCGCTCTGTACCGTGTGCCGCGGCTCGACCGCACGTGTGCTGTGTATTGTTAAGTGCGTTTTGTAAACTGGCATTGACAGAGTAGCTGTTCCTCAATGGTAGGTTTCCTTTTTATAACTTTTGTATTTTAAATCATGATTAGAGGCTATTTATAATACATTTGTTTCGCTGGTGAAAATCATCTGTCTGTTGCTCCCTTCGCTTGCTATACATATTTGGCATATAGGCACACTATTTTAACGGAGGAGATTTTGTATTTGGTAGGGTAAGGTTTTTGAAATCTTTACTATATCGCTGTTAATCTTGTTGTGCCAACATGTACCGTTATGTTGTTTGTTTACAGAACTAAACTCCCGCCATCTGAATCTGGGCCTCGTTTTTGTGATACTTGTGTCCACGGCCACTGGGGCTGGGCAGGGAGGGAGGTGTGCCATGCCGTCCCCCCCCACTCCCCCCGGGCCGCCACCGACCTGGCTCCGTCTCAGCCTCTAGTTCAATGTGTGAGTCAATGTGAGATGAAAGTCGGTACAATAAAATCACGTCCGATGACGAGACTCGCTGGGAGTGGGGTGACACTACGGGGCTGCGGGCTGCACGTGAGGCGTGTTTGGCAGGTCAGTGCCACGGGTGTATTCAGGGTCTCTGAAGAGGTCGGTTGGGTCTGAATTGTGCGACTGAAAGGAACCGTCGAAAAGTGAGCTGCATGTGACGCTACTGAGAACATGGAAAAACAAATCAAAATAAAACATAGAGCTCTCTTCTCTTAGTTCAGTTATTTCGGTGGAGGATTTGTTCAGATGACATCCCAATGCCCAATTACTAGAAAAGTCGCGGCTAAACAGTCTCCAAATAGCAGTCTTTTAATTGCCCATGCAACGTTTTCAGACGGCTCAGTCAGTTGCCTGACTTTGTTGTGGCACGGGTTGCTTGGCAACTCCATAGTTGACCTGACATATCAATCTATTTATGTGCTATATAGGGTGCTATATTGACGTGTTCAACATTTTCATTTGTCCTCTTTTTTTAATGATTGCGTAGACGGGACAAATTTTAAAGTTTTGAAATTCAAGGGACGATGGTAAGATAGGTAGACGCAGCATGCGCTGTACCTACATACATTTCAGCGTCAGTTACGGTTACCCATATTTGGGTCTACTCGTATGCACGAGGACTCGTACAGAAACCGTACACCCCCTCCCCGACAAAAACCGTCAAGCATCAATGTAAAAGCGATACAAGCCATTAGCAGCGACACATGCCTAACTACTTAAAGGAATGCCGACAACGGTTTTTCGTACACACTTTTGCCCACGCTTGTTGCTTATGTTTTTCTATATATTTTTGTATTTCCTTCGCATTCTTACTTTTTTGCTGTTTTACCTGAAGCCTTATGTTATTTAATATTCTCCCGGTAATTTTTTTTTTACCTTCTTCTCTAACCCGCGTCCTGGTGGGGTCTGTTTATAACACGTCCTGGTGGGGGAGGGCTATGTTTTGCCCCCCCCCCCCACTCGTATCTCTGAAGCTACTGAACGGAATTCAAACGGTGTTCGAAGGCCCTGTCGAATTTGTTGAAGGAAATCCAATTTCATTGACCTCGGGGTTTCCGATGGTGTCACAGGTCAGGTTAGATAAAATGTTTTGCCGTTCACGGGTCTTCTAGGGAATGCGCCATAACATCGAGTAAAACGCATTTTATCGAAATTCAGCGATAGCCGCGTATGTTGTCTAGTACAAATGTTGCTAGTAGAGGTCACTGATAATGCCAGGTCAGGTCAGGTCACCAAGGGTCAGCACATGAACCCAATTTTACTATAGGGCTGTGCGATGCGTGCGATGCACGTTTTACGGCAAGTTTTCATTTCTAAGTCACACATATTTGATCAGGATTGATTGGACATGTTTTAATGGGATCTTTTGTGCTTCCCGAAAATTCACCGAAAACAGATATGGGATTTGGAAAAAACACGTCGATAAGACCATCAGGAACGGTTTAGATTTAGGTCACTTCCTGGTGGACGTCAGGTCAATGTCAGGTAAAAAAAAATCAAATTTCAAAGTTGATATTTTTTGCTTAAAATGGGTATTGATGCGATGCAGCTCACCGCGAGTCTAATGGTAGTCTTTGTTTTGCGCTACGTGTTGAATTGCTAAAAATTGAGTTTGAAATTTTGACGTCAACAATTTTGAACAGTTTTTTCGCTATAACTTCGCCAAAAAACGAATTATTGATCTAAAATTTGGATATGAATAGAAGTCGGCAGGGGCCATCACATACATTTCGGTTTTTCGAAAATAGAACTTTTTGGATTCTTTGGCTATTATTATGTATTCCTATTCAAAAAGAATATTTTGATTTATGGGGTCAAAATCCGAAAATTTCAGAATTTTGACACTTTAGATGCCCTGGTAATTATACACCTTTTATGTCCTAAACATTTTTCTGTATCTTCAAAGCTATAGGTAGGCCTGACAGCTCTTCCCGCGAAACCTTTCTTTGTCGAAGACGGCAGAACATGACGTCACTCTGACGTCATTGGCCAACCTATCATAGCCTTTGGAAAAAATTGTCACAATAAGTAAAATTCATGCCCGGGAGGGTACTGAAATGTTGATGATCGACGCAGCAGTTCTGCAGATATATCGAAAAGTCTGGAGGGGAGAGCAAAAAATAGCCCCCCCCCCCCCCCACCAGGGCGTGGGCTAACGACGCTACCATGCCGGCTTCCCGTTGCCCTTTTTACCCCTGGTTATGCACCCGGCGCCGGCCTTGATTTCGGTTCGACCACGGAGCTCCCGTCAGCAGCCGCAGAAATTCCTTTCCAATCGCTGCTACAAATACCAGAAGCTCCCCCAGGCTGAGCACGCTCATGCCGAAAAAGAGACCAGCCACACCTCCGACGCCCTGGTACCAGTACAAGAACCCGGGCACCACGGCAGAGACTCTGGTGAACACCACCTCCGAGTAGAAGATGGTGAAGGCGGTGGTGTTGGCATCTTCGACCGGTCGATGCTCGTAGGCAGTCGTGACCCTTATCCAGTCTGAGACGCACGCTGGCCTGCAAGCTATGGAGCTGTGAGATGCGTTAGCGAGCATCTGCTGTACCTGGTCGGCGGCACAGCTGAGTGTCTGCTGCGGCGTACAGATCGGCAGCGCCGCCCTTGGGGATTCCGACTCCAGCACGTCCATGCCTAGGTGGCGGCAGCCGCAGCTGTCGGCGTACACCTGGAGCAGCTCGTGGACCATGCAGCTGGCGGCGCCGGCGACGGCAGCGGGCGGCGGCTCGGCGGCCAGCGGCACCGGCTGGCAGTCGGGTGGGCCGCCCAGCAGTGGCGTCCGCTCCGCCGTGATGTCGTGCTCCTCCTTCCACACCTGCAGCTTCACCTCCTGGCCGACAGCGGCCACCACGGCGCGGTTCATGACGGCGAAAGCCGGCGGCGTGTAGTGGTTGGTGGCCACCACCCGGAGCTCGTCGCTGGGCGGATCAATATGCAGCTCAGAGAAGTCCATGTCGGCCGGCGCGGCCTCATTCTGCAGCACCAGGTGCAGGCCGAACCGGGCGCCGGCCATGCCCTGTCGGATGTCTGTGCCGAGCGTGGTCCAGCAGCGGCCGAGCGGCGTGTACACGGCGCGCAGCAGCCGGCCGCAGCACTCGGAGCCGTTCAGCGACGCGCGCCGGCCGAGCCGGCAGCTGGACACCGTGTCCTCGCAGCTGGGCGACAGCTGGTCGAACAGCTCCGGCAACGTCAGCTCGGAGCGGCGCAGCAGCTCCTGCAGCTCCGCCTCCAGCGTCTCCAGCCGCAGCTGGGCGACGTCCGGCGGGTCGTCGTCGCTGCTGATGAAGCCGCTGGCCGTGGTGGACAGGTAGGCAGCCATCCTCGCCGACACGTTCAGCCTCTCGGCGCTCGGCCGGCTGAAGAAGTGGCCCGCACACAGGGTGACGGCAGGGATCGGCAGGCTGGCTGGCGTCTCCTGACGCACGGTGGACGTGCTTACTCTGTGAACGAGCGTTTGTTTCGTGATCGTGAACACGGAACTAGTCAGCATTCCCGCTGAGAAGAGCACCATCAGTGTCCAGAAAAGCCGCCAGGCGCAGCTTCCACTTTCGGCCAAATGTCCCAGCCCGTGAATGGTGGTGTGCTCGAGGAACCAGAGCGCGAGGCGCCTGACCTCTTGCTGCACTCCGCCGGTCGCAGAAGCGCCAGCCTCCGGCACCGCCATTCTAGTCCTCCAACGGCGCTTTCCCGATATGTTCCAAGTAGAAAATGTTAATGGATTGTCTACACACACCACCTTATCAGACGTTTCGCCAAACACCCAAAACACAGTCAGGATGGAGAGACGACGTGGAGATCTTCGTCTACTGGTGCACCGCCTGGGAATGCGAGCTGTCCACAAAACGGAGCGCCTTTGGAGGCAGCCTGGTCTTGCCAGCTAGACGTGTTCTTATTTCATCGAGTCCATACAAACGAAACACACTGGCTATAGGGTAAAATGTACTGTTTGGAATACGCCAACGTGTACAAGAACTCGACGGTGGTCAGTGAATGGCATTGACCGCTCGATGACGCCTACCATAATCGAGTCGCAAACGGGCGGCCACGGCTGCCTGTGCCAAAGGTAAATTGGCTTGTCTTTGTGCGTTTTTGAATAGCGTCATACAGTGCATAAGTACGATTAGATAGGTACCAAGGAAATAAAGCTATCAAATTATAGCCTCATGTAGCGACTGTTTCCAAGGAAACATAAATTCAGCGGAAATAACGAAGGCCACCAATGTCCTGCAGCGCCTCCTCCCTAATGGGAGAGCATATTGACTGTCCCCATAGACGTATAGACATATGACACCTGGTTAGAAGAAATGTTTTGACAAAAGGCTAGACGAAACGCTGCTCAGCATTGATAGGTGTACCGCGAAAACCGTTAACGAGTGACGTGCAACGTCGGTGTCTATGTCAATATCGGAATGATGTAGCGCCTTGGGCGCGTGGCCTCGTATGCCTCAAACATGGAACGATTAGAGTATATGTCTGTTGGTCTTACTCAGGTGTGTTACACAGGATAGGTTTTGATGTTAGTTCTGTCGAATATGCAGTATGCCATCATTACGTAGGTGTATTCTTGGTAGATAGAGAGTGTCTGCGTTTCCGTTCGTAAAACTGGTAGAACAAAACGCTCTAATGCTTTATGACAGCACTGCAGACACAACCCCACAAGTATGGATGTGGCGTCCGAGGACATGCGTATATTCAACCGTAAGTCATCGGCAGACAAGAGCTTCTTAGTTCCAAACTGTCGGCAAAAAAAAAGCAAATGACACAGCGATGCGCAATTATCTTCGCTAGAGACTGTAAAAAAGACAGATAGTCTACGTTCTCCTTGGCGCTTTAATGTCCTGGTGACATTACCGTGCTTCTCATCATTAGAAAGCTTATCCGGCGTAAGCCTTACATGGTACGGAAACAGAGTACAACAAATATCCTTCTTATGCTCACAAAATACCGTCAAATGAGCCACATAGAAAACGTTATCAATCTCAGAAGTCTAACTA